ACTTCTCTGTGGCTTCCCAGTTTATGGAGTCCCACAGCAGTGTAGTGTAGATTCCTCTGCCTTACATTCAAACCCGGTCTGTTCTGTTTTGGTCTATTTTTTTTTTTAGAACAGTTGTGTTACATGTTTGTTTTTAATTTGTTTTCCTGTTCCTATCACTGATACTGTTGTTGGACTCAGATACCTGATCCTCGTACTTTTACTTGACAATGTGCTTATCCAGGGACCCAATACTCCGTAACGACTTTTCACCACATCCTCCTGCTCAGTGCTCAGTGTCAGTAGTTTATTGAAGTAGGTCAACAATGTCAGCAGTATTGAGGTATTTTAACACTAGTGACAAAGACAGGAGCAAACGTTTCGAGTTTGAGTTAAGCCTTTTTTACTGGAAAGCAGGAGAATGTGATTATTATCATTGTTTGTCGTTGAAATGTGCCCACGATAAAAGCTCTGATCACTTTCTGTTCTGTTCAGCCGGCTGCGTTATTTAAATATTTATATTTTATATATTTTTTAACTGATACATTGTCTAATTTGATGATATTCGTAACTTCATATTCCTGCTTGGAATCTTAGAATCTTAGAATCTTGGTCCTTGTACCTGTTTGTAAGAATAATATCAGTAAAGCCCTAAGTTTTACCACACCTCCTTTCCCCTCCCACAAGAAGGTGTGGTCTGTTATCTCCAGTTGCCTGGTTTCAATAAGAACTCCTCAGCAGCATTTCCACAACCTACAGTAATGATCTGTTGGAATCCATGGTCTTTTCTTTGTCAAGAGGTTGGATAACCCCTGATCTAGGAAACCATTATTAGTCAGTGCTTCTTTATTCTTCAGCTGTTCTGTCTCAGGTGCTAATGAGCAAAGGCGCCTCCTACTGGAAGTTAATTACTGCCTGAAAAACCTGTCTAGAACCCAGCTGCCTAGTGGTGACACGTCTCTCTCTCTCTCTCTCTCTCACTCGCTCTCTCTCTCTTTCTCTCTCTCTCTGTTGGTGAAGCGGTCGTTGTTCATAATGATGCCCAAAAGTTCAATGTCATCAATATACTTTACTGGGGGCTGTCAGAGGTAAGGGGCAGGTGTATTTTGTGCTGAAGTAAAACTGAGTTGGACTTTAATGCAGTGAATCTGTTCCTGTGTGTTGGGAAATGGTGAGAAGGAAAGTTCAGAATAACCTTAAAATAATTAACTATAGATCACAGTTCAGACGAGAGGAATCTAAAGGTCAGGATACAGAGTTCACAAAATGGCTTCACTGCCTGAGTGTGAAGATAAAAATCAAGCAAAAGCTGAGCTTAACTGTTGCCCAAGGAATCAAACTTTCACAGGAAAATGATCAGTATTTATCAAAGTCCTTTTTACACAGATCTAATAGGTTTCCTGAGCAATTTATCTTTAGGCTCCGTAGTGTGATTGAAGGGTTTAATAATTGTTACTACTTTTTTTGCATACATTTGCCTGTTAGCTATTTGAAGCCAGAATATCAGAGGACTGTCAATGTTTTCCCCCTCTGTTGGTTTTCTTCAGGTACTGCATGTTCTTCCACAGTCCAAAAGCATGCACGATCAGATTAACTGATCACTGACCTTTGACCTAATGTATGAGTGGGAGTTTTCTATAATGGACTGGATAATTGTCCAGGCTGTACCCTGCCCTCTGCAGATATAGTGTTTGCAGGATTGTCTTGTAAGTTTCCCCAAACCTTTTTCATAATAAACAACTCTATTTATTCCACTGGATCCTCAAGCGTTCTTCACAGTTTATTCTGAACAACATTGTAGGAATTTAATTTATAAGGAGTAAGACATTTTAGGTTGACATTATAAATGTATAACAATAATTTACAGTCTTATCGAAATCTTTCTAATCTCATTTCAAGGACCACCTTGCCAAAGGCAATGTTGCTTCGTATCAAGGCCTCGTGTCTGTTTTCTTTAACACTGCCAACAACAACAAAAATAAATTATATCCAGGCTAATTCTGTTTCAATATCACCTCTTGAGACAGTCTCATTTAAAAATTAAAAAGTCATGACATACAGTAGTTTGTTTTGCAGCTTATGTGAAACATGAGGTCATTCTCCTACATGAGCTTCCAACAACCTTTAACCTTCTGTCCTCTCTCACTTTACTGGAAAATTCACCGTCCTCTCAGTCCAACTGCTGCTGCTGCTGCTGCTGCTGCTGCTGCTGCTGCTGCTGCTGCTGCTGCTGCTAGGAACAAATCAATGTGGAGCTATTCTTTTCCCTGAATTCCTCAGGTGGAGTGCTCTGCTGGAAGGTCTCCAGCTCTGTCTCGCTCTCAAGTAGTCAGTGTTCATACAATAGCCCTTGGCGCTGCCTTTGTCCTTCAGCCTCCTTGGCCATGTTTAAAACCTCATTTGGTTTGTAGCTGCTGCGTGTGTAGTTAATGTTATTACATTACAGCGCAGTTTATTTAAAGAATATCACAGCACATGAAGCTTAATTATTATTTATTCCTTAAATGTAGTTTGTCAAAGCTGGAGTGAATACCCACAGTTCTGATTTCCTCACTGAGTAAATCAAATGTTTGACAAATCCCCACTGAAGTTTCTTTTTTGTTTGTTGACATTCGAGATGACAAATAAATGTACCAATCACTTTCTACTGCTGTAAAGCACCATTAGATTTAAAGGATCTGTTTGTCAGAAGTCTCACTGATCCTGGCAATAAAACAAAATAAGAATTAATACGAGAAGCAAATAAGCAGTTTCACACTGACGCAGTACTGAACTCTGTTACTGATCACATTCTAAAGTTTATTTTTATCTCTGTATGCTCTTTGAGGAAGATAAATTAGCCTTGTGAGCTCAGTAAAGGTTTTTCCAATTATAACAATACAAAAATACTGACATTGAGGGTTTTTTGTTTTGTTTTTTTAAATGGTACAAACGGATGGAAAAAAAAAAAAAAACCAAGAGTCACCTTATTTGTAACGTTTGTTTTTAGCTTCTGAATTCTCCGGTCTCCATAAATCCCACTGGGCAGAATCAACTCCACCATTCTGGATGCACAGCAGGATCGTTAGATGACTTGTTAGAGACTCTTGTCTGTGACACCCTGAAGAATTCTCTCATCACAAATACCCACCACTGTGAAAGAAGTGGAGGGAGATGTGTGTGTGTGTGTGTGTGTGTGTGTGTGTGTGGTTTACCTTACACACACTTGTACTTCTTGATGTGTTACTGAAAATAGCACCTGCTATACAATATAACAATAATAATAATAATACACTATAGTGTATGAGGTTTTCAGATTTTTTCATCATTAAAAGGTCATTCTCCTTCCTGTCCAACTCAGACCCTGTCAACTTGCGTCAATGCGTGACAGGCAGAGCAATTAAATCCTCTTCTTCCAGTGTTTCCCGTGGGGAAACACTACAATAGAGAACGAACTGGTTCAGGTTAATGCAGGGATTGGGCAGAATAAGGTTCAGATTAGAGTCACTTCCTCCGAAAAAGTGTTATTTTAGAGGGCGGCTCATGAGGTGTCAAGTGTCTTTGTGACAGTATGTGTGTGGGATGTGAGGGGGAAAACACACACAAACTCTGGGTTTCCTTCTCCACTCTCTTATGTGTTAAAGATGTTTTTCCCACCTGAAGATCAATGAGAGCCTTTTACTTTGTGGATCAAAGGGCTCTATCTACTTCTTAAAACTCACCTTTCCTCTGCACAAAGAACAGTGAGCACTTTCTCACACAGCTGGAAAGCACTTCAGACATTTATTTCGACCTTAGCACTCGTGTGCAATGCCTTCGGGTCAAGCTACGTCGTACACCTTGTAAAATGTGCTTAAGAAAGGTTACTTTAAAGGCTTTAAAGACAGGAGCTCAAAAATCGAACGCTGGCCCCACACTCTGTCTTACTGGCCTGGATCCATTATTTAAATCCGTAATCACTGTCGCAGTTTGACCCGTGGTTGGCAAGAAGAATTAAAACTTAGATCGCCTTTATAGCAGAGGTGATATATATATATATATATATATATATATATATTTGGCTATGGTGAGCAGTTGCATGCACTGTAAACTATCCATGTTATACTGTATACACACATACAGTAGTATTAAGTGTCCTTATCAAAAAGCCGGGACTGTTGTTTGAAATAACCTTTAACAGAATTGGGAAAACAAAGGAACATGTTAATTATTGTCAGTGATTAGGAGACACACCATTTGGCCTTTTAATTTGCTATTACTGGTTGAATTATTCTCTGAAAAAATCTGCTTTTTGTTTATATAAGGAGCCAAACCGCTGAGATTTTGTCTTCTGATTTCCATTAAGATTCTGCTGTTTTACCTCCACAGTGGAATCCCAGGAAAGAAATGCGGAACGATCGTCCTGACTGCAGAGGAGCTTAGCAACTGCCGAGTGAGTGAACCACAGTCAACTCTGTCTGTCTGTCCGTCTGTCCTTCTGTCCGTCCATCTGTCCGTCTGTCTGTCCCTCTGTCCGTCTGTCTGTCCCTCTGTCCGTCTGTCTGTCCCTCTGTCCGTCTGTCTGTCCGTCTGTCCCTCTGTCCGTCTGTCCGCCTGTCCGTCCATCTGTCCGTCTGTCTGTCCCTCTGTCCGTCTGTCTGTCCCTCTGTCCGTCTGTCTGTCCGTCTGTCCGTCTGTCCGCCTGGCCGTCTGTCCGTCCGTCTGTCCGCCTGTCCGTCCATCTGTCCGCCTGTCTGCCCGCCTGTCGGTCCGCCCCTCTGTCCGTCTGTCCGTCCGTCTGTCCGTCTGTCCGTCCGTCTGTCTGTCTGTCCCTCTGTCCGTCTGTCTGTCCCTCTGTCCGTCTGTCCGCCTGTCCGTCCATCTGTCCGCCTGTCTGCCCGCCTGTCGGTCCGCCCCTCTGTCCGTCTGTCCGTCTTTGGGGCAGCCCTTGTTGCCCTGCAGCACAATCTGCAGTTCAGTGGACTGATGGACTTTAACTTGGCTTTAAAAGTCTGGCCAAACAAACTCTATGTCTGAGTGTGACATTAAGTGAGGAACAGATGTTTACATTAAAATAAACTAAGTGCTTTATTTGCCTAAAAGCATTGTTGAGATCAGACCTAATTGCAGTAGTGAAACACCATGAGGTGTGATCACAATCAACATCACTCCTTTTAAAGCATTAAGAGTAATCTTTAAAACAAGTCCTTCAAGAAACACAAACTGTAGAAACATTTGCAAAAGCTTTAAATCCTCATTTTATTTTAATATATCTAGTTTATACATTCTATATGCTGAAAGCCAGTGACTGAAGCTCTTCAAAAACCACAGTTCTGCAGGAATGGTACAATAAAAGAGTTTTATTTTAGTTTGGTACGCCGCAGTGAGGTGGCGCTATAACGATAAAAGATCTGTATAGTGGTATTATTATAACAACTACCGTAGTCACCGTTTCCTGTCACTCTTTTCTTAATATACACACATTTCACTTAAACTTCCACGCAAACTGATGAGACAAAAGTTGGACAACAGAAACTCTGAGAGTTCCAACAGACAGAGGGAACGTTGTAAAGTCCTGGATTAAAGCCAAAAATAATAACATTGTAATAGTTCTTGCAGGACATTAAATGTGTATTTTTTGCCGCTCTGCTCTGAAGCAATCTAATTACATAGATATAAATTAAAAACATTAGTTTGGCTCACCACCAACCCCCACGCAGCTGACGGCTCTAATGCAGATACAACTGGTTTTAAATTCTCATCCTGCGGGTTTCTGAAAAAAAAGAAAAAAACACAGCCTCCTCCCTCCGCGTGGGAAATAACGCTATTCCACATGGGAAAAATATACTTCTTCATTTTAATTGCTCAAACATAATTAAACCAGTTCCAGTGAATTTTGAGAAAAGTAAACTTTAATCACTGCTTTTTTTCGATAATTAGAAATTTAAAGATTGTGCAGCATCCACAGAGCAGACCCTCATTTATGAAGAAGAAGTATGTTTGCAAGGGATAAAATCTGCTGGATCATCAGTGTGCATACAATTAAACTCAATTTAAATCACTGTCATTTGCTAATATAAACCTTAGAGGTAGCACTGCCTGCAGCTGCTTCATATTTACTGTGATATAGAAATCCTACAGGACACACAGGCTCTGATGTGTTTAAATAAATATTTAAACATTAACAACATGTGAGTGGTGTAAAGTGTCTCCAGAGCGGCCTGTGTTTGCTTGAAACTCATATTCTCATTTACATTTGCATTAGGCGCCAACACTGAGCCCGTGGACACATTAACCCCTCAGGAAGGATTTTAATTTCACTCCCGTGTTTGAAAGTATTCAGTGAACTGTTGCAGTGTGTTTGCCCAGAATCAGCCCATTGGGATCTAATTTCTTCCATATTCTTCTTGCTCACTTATCTCACCAGGAAGACTGCAGCGTTACACTTGAGATGAAATATTTTCAGATTTGTTACATCACCCTAAATGGCATTTCAAATGGAAGCACAAAGAGCCTGAGCTAATTGGGTAAATGTGACACCGAGGCATCAGAGATGTTGACTGTCACTTTTATTCCTGTGCCAATGTTGACCAAATTGGTGGTTGTCAAATAATTAAAGCCAGTGGGAAAACACTAACTTAAAAAAGAAAAACAGATTAAAAAAATTTCTAAACAGGGACCGGAGTGGTGCAGTGGATGCCTACCTGCCACTAGGTGGCTCCCAACCATCCAAAAATGCCAGGTTGGGTCGTGGCCTTGACTTTGAACCAAACTTGTTTAATCTTATGTAGGTGTTGTACCTTTGGATGAAGAGATGTTGTAGATGTTGACTGACCTTGACTGACCTTGGTCCAAATGGGGATCTTTTTGCTCCGTGGCAGAGGTGCTAACCAGCACGGGAATTGTGTGTCTACTAAATAGAATTTTTAAATATAAGTAGATACTTATGTCTAGAAAGGCTTTGGTCTGGATCCAAATTTATTCAGCTGCAGGAGAACAACCACAAACCAGATCTAAGATCTGTTAGCTCAGAGAAAGACACACAGATCTTTGATTTTGACATTATCATCTCAGGCGTACACTGTTTTAAGTTATCATCGAGGAGGTCTAGAGATCAAGTAAAATCAGGAAAGATCAAAGACTTCCAGGGGCTGGTCATGCAGCCATTTATGGTCCTTACAGTGCGCCGCAAAAATTGCTGCCACTTCATTCCACTCTGACACAGAAATGCTCATTAAATACTTAATCCAATTATTTAATAACTAAATTGCTGTTTTTGCAGAAGTTTTCAGAAAAACTCAAAATAATTTACTTCATTGAACTGAACATCATGAACGTTAGACAACAGCCAAGGTACAAAGTGAAGGTACTGATATGGAGAATTGCACTTAATGCAAACAGTTACAAAATCGTTCAGGTGCATTATTTATGAATTTAATTAGGGAGAGAAGAACAGTAAAAACAACATGTGTTGATGATTTCTTACCTCCTTAACAATTCTTTAGCCCTTTTATATGGCCGCCCTCGTCACCTTTTAAATGGGTCACTGTTATTTACTATTGATCCCTAACAAGATTTTATTCCTAGAGGTAAAATTACCCTGGCACCAGTTAATGTGTGCTACGTAGCCAGTTAGCCTTCACATCAGGCAGCTTTTCTGACACACACTCACCTCTCATCTCAAATGTCTCCAAACACTCCTTCATTACTTTCCTGAGGGTACGAGTGTGTCTCTGCCCACTCTGTACTCCATAACCCTTTAAATATTGATGGTCTGAATCTCATCGTATTAATGATTGGCTGTTGATCACAGACCTTTGCAGGAGTTCCTGTTCATGCCAGAGGAGCCTAATGAGTCTCGATGTGATGTATATTTTATAACTCCAGCACATTCTTTTACTCTAAATACTTTAATGTTCTTATCTGCCTCTCAGGGGTCTCCTGGCCTGAGCCTCTACCCTCTCTGTGAGAGACTTTTATCGTGTTCTCAATTTGGAAATGACTTTACCAGTTAATGGACTGCTCCTTCAACCCATTAAATTCATTTGAGTAATGAGAGTCGACCAAGGCTGTTCCTGAGATTTGGTCGTTTCTTATGTCCATCTTACTGCTGTCATGTATATTGTTTTGCAAGTACTACCAGAAGTAGTTATAGCGCCACCTACTCTAGAACAGGTGGTTAATGGTCTGTTCCTATTTAGCACTGCTGTTATGTACGAGACTTAGTTTAACTCGAGGGCCGGTTCAGTATTGGTTGGATGTAGAATGCTGAATGAAATCATTTGAAACAATAACTTTCAAAGATAATCTGGCACTTTTGATTTCTGCCTTGATACAAATCAGTGTTTGTCAGGGTGGATTAGAAAGCCCAGCGGGCCGTATCTGGCCCACGGGCCGTAGTTTGTCCGTGTCTGGTTTAGATGGCACCACCGTGCGGTGCTAACCATAGCCTCATGGTTAGGGAGAGTTTAAGAAATGTTCTTTTCATGTTCAGGTTACAGCCTGTGACCTCCAGCTCGCTGCAGTTGGACTGAGAGACAATGTGAACTAATGACTTTAAGATTATTTTAGGAAACTAAATTCGTACTCTATGTGCCAGCAAAACCATCTGGCATGTGCAGAATCCATCATCTTCCCTGGCAGGCATGCATTAATATGCATCCATTCTATAGTTTCCATGTCTAATGGATCTGCATATATGACAGAGAGGCTTATATCAACGCTAAACAGGGGCGTACGCTGAGATTGCTTCGAAGAAACATGATGTTTGTCAATGAAAACACAATTTTATTCTTTAATCATTCATCTAAAATATTAAGATTCAGTTGAAACACATTATGGATTCGTATTGTCGCTGAGTTTTTAGAAAATGGAATGAGAGAAAAAAACAGCTATAGATGATTTTTGTGTTGTAGGATTGTGCCAACTGGCTGCCATGTGATGTGTGTGTGCATGTGTGCATGTGTGTGTGTTCTTGGAGTGAGGGCAGAGATGGAGATTACGTTCTTAGTGCAGCAGCAGTGAAGTGCATGTGTTCGTGATTGTGTCAGGGAGGACGTGTGTGCATCCTGGCTGCGCGAGATAAAGACACCGAGGTAAAGCACATACGGACATGAAAATGTGATGCAGCACACGGGCCCAGAAACACTCCTGCTCTCACTCTTTCACACACTTCCAACCTCTCACACGCTCTTCTACTGATTTGCCACTCGGCACTGTGCCCGGCACGAGGTGCAAGCTGCAACATTAAAAAGCTATTAAGTTATCATTAGTGGCGCCGTGGCTGCCCAGTGTAAAGCCCTGGGCTGTGACAACAACAGCAGTCTACTGTTGTGGCATCAACATGTACTACAGTGAACCCACTGTGTTCAGAGATTAGCTGGAGCCCATATGCCAGAGATAAGACTGTTCCATTCCCTTTACTGCCTCCTCGGAGTGGTGGCCAAGATCGGGGGGCTGTGATAATAAACAGTGTTTCACTGGATCAACAGCACAACAACAAGTCATTTATACTCAGTTTGGTTAGAGCTCTGCAGAGCTCAGGGAGAAAGGTACAATCAGGAGATGTTGTCACTGCTCTGAGATTTAGGTTGGTGTTCATATTAATGTAGGATTATTATGTCTTTGTCAAATAAAATATTGAGTTTGAAATATTTTGCACCATCTGTTTGCACAGGGAATATTGTAACATATGTGCAAAAAAATTTTTTTTTCACTTTATTTTGTAAACAATCGCACACTCCATCTTACTTTACCAGTACTCTCAGATTTACAGGAACTAGCACCGATGATAAGCTGCATTTTACCTTATTTTGGATTAAATTCCCCAGAAAACTGAATTTCCTTCGGAGAAATAATAAGATGCTGTGACACAGTCTCACCGTGGAGTCGGCAACACTAGGTCTGGATCTGCTGGAGATTTCTTATTGTTAACAGGGACTTTTTTTTTTCTCCACACTGTTGCCACAGTGCTTGCTCAGTGTGTGTTCAAATTTGGTTTTCAATAATATTTGTATCCTGAGTGTATCCTGCTGTGCTTTGTGGTGTTAACTGTACATACATTCATCCATTTTTCCACTGTTATTTTTCCTGTTGATATTCTTCATTCTAATTTGTGTAGTAAATGCTGGCCAACTCTTACCGTAACATAGTTTATGTTCTAGTTTTAGTCTTCATGTCGAATGAGAACATCTTTAATTTATTTTATTTATTTGACTTGTTTCCCTCCAGGACAGTGGGACAATGCAGTTCTGTGCCAATAAGCTGGACAAGAAGGACTTTTTTGGCAAGTCCGACCCTTTCATGGTCTTTTACCGCAGCAACGAGGACGGAACGTGAGTGTCTGGGTTTTAATTTAGCTTAAAAAAATCTTAGATGTCCAACATTTAGAAAATTTTTTAGAAACTAATGTAAAGCAACAGACAGAACATAAACTGTCCACTGGGCCGCAGTAAATGCTAAACAAAACGTCACTAATTGTATTAAATCCAGGGTCTTTGGTTCGATGACACACAATGATGGCTGTGTGGTGAAGTCATTATGGTTGTTTTGTTTTAATTGTGGAATTATTAATTATAACCATTTAATTATATTAATCAAAAACATCTGTTGAGCATAAAAATCCCTGTCCCTGCCTTCATATACTGTACAGTGTGAAGAACTGCAGTACTGTTACTGAGGCGTGTCTGAAGAGGAGCTGCACATTGACGTGTGTAGTTTCCATATTGTGTATAAATGACTTCTGAAAAGCAAAAAGGGAACTTAAATTCAAAGGAGTAAAAGCAAGGGAGGAAAAAAAAATCTGAATCTTTCCATCAACAGGAAAGACTCTTTCATTTTCTGAGGCAGATTCTGTGGGATGCACAACTCTCTCTGATCTCTCTCCTGCCTGAGTGCTGCTCAGCCTCCCATGGGGCTGCGCACGATTGTGGCAGCATCAGCCAACGTAACTGCAACTGCTTCGGCAAGTGCTTTGTTAGCCATCTTGTAGCTGTTCACATTATTTTTATTCATACATAACAGGGTAGAAAATGGATCCTCACCAAGTGTTAGAAGAGTTGTTGGTTCCAGATGGGTGGTTCAAATTAAAAGGCTGTGAGGCTAAAAGACTCACAGCTGTTTAAAAAAAAAAAACAGAGGCTCTTGGTGGGGAAAGAATAATCCTAGATTTTGAATAAAAAAAAATAAGGAGCAGTATGTCCAATTGCCTTTTTGGCGGTGGTTTACACAGGGATGCTTATCTGGATCTGCTCTGTGAAACAACTCACATGTTACCAAAATCCATCCACGTATTATTTTCACCTGGGGTCAAGAGGATGGATTTACCAGGCAGGCTGAAATATGAAATTAGTCTGTCCTCTTCATCACAGATAGCTGGGACACAGGCCAGGCGGTAAACAAAGCCCTGTCTGAAGCAGCTCTTGTGTCACAGAAGGATTTATCATTGTCTTTCCTGATGGCTGCACCTCTTTAGTTCCGTATGCGTCGACCTATTGCATATTAATCTCAACCTTCGAGGCTTATGTTATTGACAAATAATCCATTTTCTATGTCTCCTTCACCCTGCGATTCCAGGTTTACTATCTGCCATAAAACAGAAGTGGTGAAAAACACATTAAACCCAGTCTGGCAGCCTTTCACCATCCCAGTACGAGCGCTCTGCAACGGGGACTATGACAGGTACGGTTTCCTCTCTCACTGCCTCTGTAGAACACGGTCCAAGATGCTCTTCTTTATAATTTTGCTTTTAGTCTCTACACACAAACACACACACACAGGACTTGGCATTCTGTGAGCTCTACACAGTCATAACACATCCCCTAGCTCCTTAGCCTGACCTTAAATATTATTAATACAATATGGAACTAATTGTAATTCTTACACTTTAATCTGACTTGTAATCCTAACTCCAAACTAACTCTTGAAATATTATCACCATCCATGTGTCTCCACAAGTACATGATGTTCTCTTGACAATTCTTTTTCTTTAATCCCCACAAGTATAGATATACAACCAACAAACGCACACACACACACACACACACGGGTTTGTCCCACTGACATCATCCGTCTTAAGTGATTTTCCTTGAATCAATCTAACGACTGCCATCATGGCTGTGATCAGTCTCACTCTGACTGACGAACCGCCCGCTGATGACAGCCATTACTACCACCTCAGAGTCGAAGAGCTTAACAACCTAAAATCAATCGCCCTTCAGGATGCTGCGGTGGTCAACCCCTAACTCTTCCCAGAGAATCGGATTATTTAAAAGTAATGGTGTTCCTGTAGGAAATCCCTCATTATTGGATTTTTCTCAGAAAAGCACAGCTCAGGTGTAATGGGCCAGTTCTCGTCTCCTCTGACCTTGTACTGCTTCGAACATCGACATTGTTCTAAACAAACCTAACGTGCGGTTGCCAGAACTTTACATCAAAGATTTGAGAGGGAAAAGTGTAATTCATCATAAAAACTGTAGGGTTTACACACAGTTAAGACTTGATGTAGACTTTCTCTTGGAAGTCTGGCTCTTTCCTCTGTCTTTTGGAGTAAGTAGCGTCGGTGGCGTTCTCATGCGTGTCAGTTACATTCAAAACACACTTTCTAATCTTAACAGGTCTTTGAAGAAATATCTTTGTGAGTGTCTTTCTTCAATTCCTGCCAGTATATCAGTGTTGTCTTCAACTAAACAGGCTGAGATTCTAGTCAATCATGAGGTCAGTTAAAATAGAAGATTATTATATTTCATTACATATACTTTTTGTGAGATGTTTGTTTGGTGGTGTGCTGTGGCTCAAAAAAGGTTTGGAAACACTGATCTATGGTGGGTTTAAGGACAGTTAAAGACACGATGACGTCAGTTTAACCAGATTGAACACATTTTTCATGTTACGTCACTGACTGTTTGCCTAAACCCTCCTGTGTTGACACTACTGGAATGTTAGCTCCTTGGAATACCATGGAATACAAATCAGTAGTTTATATAGGTAGAAAATAAAAATTCTAAATTAGTATTAAAATGATCCACACAGGTTTGGGTCTGCTAATTTGAATTATTATTTTATTTTTACTTTGTTTTTTTTAATTAATGAAAGTATTATTAATTGGACATATTGTGTTGTAGGCACAAAAAATAATTTATTTCTTTAGTCTTACTTGAAAAAAAAATACATATAAAAAATAGTGTCTCTGGGGTGACAAAAAAAGAAACGAAAGACCCGGCGTGTTATGTACAGTGTGTGCGTGTGGGTGCGTGGGTGTGTTTGCCTCGTCTTTATCTCTCTCTTACTCAAAGACGTTCATCCTGCTGTTATTTGTATGCTGAAAATTCTAATTGCTGTGAGACCTGTTTGTGCTGAAGAAACTGAGATAAATCCCACACACGCGTAAGAACAGACAGACAGAGAGAGAGAAATGCTGGTGGCTTCTGCCTCCAGAGATGTTTTGAAGAAACTGGCCAATACCATGTGAGCCTAAGAAGGGTCACTACCCTGTCAGAAGCAATAATACACAGTGGACTGAGCTGTACATCAAAGGCAACTCCTAAAATCCTCCTGTGTGTATTCAAAAATACACACACACACACATGCATGAGGATGTGTGCACAGAGAGTGTGTAATGAAATGTGACAAGCCACAAGCTGAAACTGCGTGAACTGCTCCAAGACTTGAAAAATCACAGAGACAGTGCTATAAACAGTGAGGAATAAACTTTGTGTGTCAGCATTTGTTTTGTTTTTTTTTTTTTGTTTTTTTTTGCCTCCCTATTCCTGGGAGGCAGAGGTGGGCTGGTCTGTCTGTCTTTTTAATTATATAGTTCTTGAGATGCATAAATAAATTATTTTCTCATACTCCCCGTCGGTGCCTTATCATCCAAGCTGTGCTCATGAAACGAACGTGGCTCTTGTGGCTGTCACTGCTTTTGATTAATATAATTACTGTTTGCATCTGGCAAGGAAAAGAAAGCAGGCAATGATCTGAAAAAAAATGACAAAAATAAATCAGCTCTTGCTAATTTTCAACTTTGTGTTCAAAAGCCAGATTTAAAAATGAAAGAATGACATATTTATTTTTAAATTTAATTAATATAAATAAACACATTAACTCATCTGTCTTGATTTAATTTAATTCAATTTTTATTCTCAACATCTCAAACAAATTACCCTGTAGAGTAACTTTGTTATATTACCCCCTCAGGATAATACATTACAGTACACAGTATACTGCTACTCAATTATTGCCCCCACATAACTGCTCCTCTATTTGACCACACAGTCCAGGTTAAACTGCCATAGGTAGTGATTTAGTCTGACTGAACAATATCCCAACCGTGATAATTAAGTATAAAAAAGTTGAAGCCCATGGAGCAGACTGCAAGTGACAAAGGCAGCGTCCAAATGAATTTATAAGGTCCTTAAAAATTAGATAAGGAGAAGTTTATGGCGGAAGGTGAATTACCCTCCATGGTTCAGGGGCAATGCCTTCAGTTTGTGGAGGAGCTGCAGTTAGAAAAGAAAGACACAACAGAAAAATGATCAGCTAACCAGTGACCGATTCTGACCAGTGTATAAACCTACTATTGATCAGCCTCAGAGATCCGTAGACCAGACTCTCAAAACTTTAAAATATATTTTCAATGAGCATAAATAGCATACATTTTTAAATTAAAATAAGAATGTTTCTAAGTGGTTTTGGGGGAAATTGGTGGATTGTAGTTGTTGTTGTGTAATTCAAAGAATACAAGAACGTTAAAGTACAAGAAAAAACACTGCATGATTGACAGTTGTCACATGGGAGTACGGGTGCATAACAATTTTTCCAGTGGCTACATACACCATGCACAGCATTAGGTGTTAAAATGGGACCAAAAAGGCAAAGTCAACATGTTTTATATAATCTGTCACAAAACACTTTTGGAAAAACAGCATCTTTTATATACGTTTGTTGTTGCTTGTTGTCACTGAGAAGAGCTGAGTCTGAATGGAATGAATTTGTTTGGCTCTGACAGATGTGTTCTGCCAGTTGGAGCGCACCCACACACTCTCTCACACACACACACACTCCCTCCTGTCATACGATATGTCCTTTGATATGATCGCCTCAGCCTCCTGTCATATGATATGTCCTTTGATATGATCGCCTCAGCAAATCAATGCTGGCAGCAAATCCAGAAAAAAAAAGAAAAAAAAAGTTGTATAAAATATGACTGAAGAGTTTGATCATTCTGATAGAGCTGGATGAAAACGTCAGAGTTTGAGGTGCGTTGTTGTAATGTGGGAAGAATGGCTACTTAATTAAAGATGGGTTTTTCTTCACTTCTTGATAATTTCAGTCCTAAATCATGGACGGATTTTATGTATTTTTACATCTGTGAGTTATATATGGCTGACAGTCAATGTCAGTAATTCATTTTTTTTATTTCCTCTTACAATTTTTGTTGAAACAGAAAAAAAAACTATTCTCATGGTGTATACTTTACTTGAGTTTCATTTCTTTACAGACGGTAAATCCACTCCATCCTCAGCTGAATGCAGTGGACCGAGTTTATTCTGGTTTTATATGAACTCTCAGACAACACTCTGGTTATCATTAGTTTTGCTATCGTATCATGAACAGACAGTCAGGCAGCGCCCGTGGCACCAACTGCTCATTATCTCCTTGGCACTGCTCTCTCATGTCAAGTCAAGCGAATGTTGGATGAGGTACAGAGGCATCTCGGTGCGTTGAGAGTTGTAGTCTGTACATCAGTACATCACCGGACGACCCGGTGAATGGCCTCGCCCTAATTAGAACCCAAACTAAGTTTGGACCTAGAGTTACCTAGAGAACACAAGAGAAAAGTTGTAGACAATGCAAGGTTTATATATTTGTTTGTTTGGTTTTGTTTTTGCTTCACATCTCTAATGTTGTTAATAATATTGAGTTTTGGGATCTGAAACTGCGCCTTCTAGTGGACTCGCCACCCGCAGGTTCACGAGCAGTGTGATTCAGGTGGCGGTCACGACCTGGTAACAGATAAGCGGACGAAAATGGATGGATAGATGGGATCTGAAACCAGCTGTAGGAGTACAATTTTTCATAGGCAGATGGAGTATTACTTCAACAATTACTAAATTCTCTTAATGTGACTTTTTATTGTCATAAATAATAACAAAAACAAATGACTGTACTCTGACCCCGAGTGCTCAGGCTGTACTGTCGAGGGTCTCCATCTTTACTTATGACTCAGGAAACCTGGGTAATGTTGTCCAGCACACTTACTTATGTTTGGTGATGCAGGTCATGTAGCTGTTTGTTTATTAGCTTTTATAAAACAGAAACAATTGTCAGCTGAAACGTAGCCAAGAATAGTCACGTGAAAAACAGCAGTGATCAAACCTCCTGTAAAACACCATAATATATTATTATGGCTTAAATATATATTGTGATATACAATTTAATTACCAGAATCAGCAGTTAAGCACAGATCCAAACCAAACTTCACTACCTAATAAGTCACCAGGAAAACCAAGATCGATTACAGAGCTTGGGAGGTCAGACAGAGCTGTTTGAATATAAACATAGAACTGAAGATGAATGTTGTTTATCGGCCTCATAATGGTGACTAATAACGATCATTTCTGTTTGTAAATAAAATTAGTTTCTCTTGTCTCAGCCCTGTACAATAATACTGTGTCTTTTTATAACATTAATCACTTTTATTGTGTACTAAAAGATAAATTAATGTATGGGGAGCTGGTGATTCACATCATTACAGTTGTGCAGGGAACATTGGTTGTCTCTCTTCTTTTATATAGGACGAGAGTTGTCCAAAAGTATAGTTTTTAGGTTTGGACACATACGGTACGACAAAGATCTGGACTGCAGGCAGGACGGTCAAGAATGAAGAACTTGTTGTGTGCAGAATCAGGACTTTGTTAGTTCTCATTGTGAAATTTCAATTCAACTCCAAACTGACTCCATCTTTACTCCGTCTTTCTTTGTCCCTGTCATACAAATTAGAGAGAGGACGGTGCAACTGGGTGTGAAGAGCCTTTCGTGTTAAATGCTGGTACATTTTCTCCCCTCATCAATTATATTCACCTGCGTTACAGATAGAAGTGGAGTTCATTAAGGCTGCCTTTGAATAGCAGCTGAGGATACGTGTGGCAGATTAGTTTTTGGAGTGTATATTGTTCTGAGGGTTCAAGCTGCCTCTCACGGACTGAAGCATCTGACTCTGTTAATGGAGCTCTAAAATCGGAGAGCACAGGTTTGAAATAGAATAATAGAAAAGCTTGCTCGTCATTTTTGTTGTTCAGACCTTGGTCATTTGTTTATCATTTAATGATTTTCATGGTTTTTTTTCTTTTGTTTTTTTAATAATTCCATTTCTTTGACCATGTTGGTAAAGAAACATCCGTCCTGTCTCTACCACCTCAGTGACAAGCATATTTTCTGTACCTGGCAGTCTTGAAGATAACCTCAAAAGAACAAATTGTTACTGTGGAGTGACAGGTTTCAGGTGGCAGGGAGAAGTGAGGCTTATTTCAGGCACCTTTCAATTCCTTAGCGACAGGGAAGAGTCTGTGATGTGCCACTTGCTTTTATTTTCTTTGGATCTTCGCTGGTGTCAGTGCCTGTTTCAAGATGGAGCTGAAGAGAGACGAGTCAACATGACTCAGGGATGACAGCAGAAAAACTTTCCCTCTCTCTCTCTTTCTGTCTCTCCCCATCTCTCTTCTTCGAGCTTTCTGCAGAATTTCAGAGTTGAGGTCCATGAAACTTTTCTCACAGTCACCTGTGGGACTGCAGTGTCAAATAAAGACTTTTTTTTAAAAGTAGACCTAAATAATAACTAAACACTAAATATCTTCATTCAGAACAAGAAAAAGCACTGTTGGAATGTGGTATTATTTACATGTGACAACACAATGTATTCACCACTAAACCACGCTCTTCTACAAAGACTTGACAACAATATGGTTGTTGAAGTTAAGGTGTGAATATGAGATTGCAGTATTTCATGTTGATGTGTGGATTTTTAATGATTAGAAATATGTAAGAATAAATCTGTATTCGTGTTAACACTTCTGAAATAATTTTTTGTATTTTTTATTTCAATTTTTTTTCTTAATACAATTTGTATTGTACCTCAGTAATTCGATCTTTCCCCTGGTGTTGCCCACGTGTCTTCCTCTGTACCAGTGGCTCGATGCTGTTCCAGTGCTTTTCTTTACAATTCCTCCATGTAGAGGTCAGCCTGGTCAGCAACCAGTGCTGTTCCTTTGGGATTTTTGTCAGATATCAAGTTTTCTGCATACATAATAAGAGAGGCCACATAACTGACCCCAGATCTGCAGAGCTCGGCCCTGGTGGAACACAGAACAGAATCTGCTGTATGTTTCCTCACATTTGTTTTTCTGACGTGCGCCTGTTTCTCCTGGCAGTTCTTGTGCTGTTGAAAAAAAGAAATACAAAAAAGAATGATCAATTTATGTTCATTGAGTAGAGGTTACAAGAGGTGACAGTTACACGTCGATTTTTTTAGACTAGAAAACATGCAAAACAAGTGTTTCCAATCAGTCAGATGGCCTTGAGGTGCAGAAAAATTGGAAGTTGAAAGCACTACAGGATCATTTGTTTGAGTTTATTAAAATTGACAATAAATGACAAGAGGAAAATCTGCCTGATACGATCTTGAGCTCCAAAAACTGAAATGAATTAAATTAGCCATGTAACTCTATTCTATTCTATTCTATTCTATTCTATTCTATTCTATTCTATTCTATTCTATTCTATTCTATATAAGACTGTTTCCTGAATAACAATATCTTGAACCAATGTTTTATTTACTTCCAGAACAATCAAGGTTGAGGTGTATGACTGGGACCGAGATGGGAGGTGAGTGTGACTGCTCAGTTATACTGTCAATTAACAGCAATAGTAAACAAACAACAAATAGAAATATTATTTTCTGAAAAAAGAGTAAGAGAATACTACAGTTATATTCCAACCTGCTTATGAAACGCAGCCGTTCACTTGCTGTTTCATTTCTCATTGGTTTTTCACATTTTCTATTATTCCTACTGACAGCCATGATTTCATTGGGGACTTTACCACCAGCTACCGAGAGCTCGCCCGAGGGCAAAGCCAGTTTAATGTCTATGAGGTAAGAAATCCCAGTGTGTCCGTTGTTCAGAAACGTCTGTTGAATCCTGGGATCTGGATTCCCTCATCATTCCAAAGCTTTGCTGCTTAAATGATTAGCATTTCCTGAAAATGACAATGCGTCTGAATTGTCAAGGGTGAAGCTTCCCACTTCATATCCTGCAGCAAACCGATGTTTCTGTTCAGATGCAACAGAATCACCTCGATATTTCAAACCTAATTTGATGGGATATATTTGCCAGCTCCTCCAGCTCTTTATTTATTTTTCTGTGTTGAGTATTTTTTTTATGACTTTAAACTAAGATTAATTTCACTCTTCTAACCACGTGAATGCTGACAAACATACAAATGGATCTATTACCAAGAGCGTGCAGCAGGACTAATGGAAGAACAATCCACGGATTTAAAATGATTGGAGCTGCTCCTCAGAGCCCCTCTCTCCTAACCCTCACCATTTTGCTTGGATGTAAGTTTTAAAAACAACTATTCTGAGTTGGATGAACATAAAGAAAGGGGGCTTCGTTCTGATCCTCATCATGTATAGTTCAAGGCCACACACCAAAGGACAAATAAATGTCAGTCCCATTTCACGGCTCCCTCGGTTTTGTTTTTTTTTCTCTCCCACCCAGTGAGACTGAAAGGCCCTTTAGTTTTTGCATCAGCAGATTGTTCTGTGTGTCAGACAAATTGCCGTCCTTTCATGTTAAATTAGAGGCTGTCACTTAGGCTTTCACAGACATAGAGAACTGAGGTAATGAGCTGAGACTGACTGACATTTTTGTCTTGTTCTGCGGCTGATACAGTGCTGCTGTTTAAATCTAATTCTTTCACCTGACACCAGTCTGAGACATCACTTTTAGCCCAAAGTCCTAGAATAGGATTTATTGCTGCTGAATAACGTGCTTCAAATAGACTCGGTGTTTCTAAATGAAATGTGAACATTCGCAGACTTTCCCTGCCAAGTGGGTGTGTTGCATTAAAAAACACGAGTATGAATGTTAAAATTGCAATTTTTTTTTTTTCAAAATGAAACTCCAAATTACATTTTTATTTTGTGAATGAATATATAAGGCATGAATTGATTCCTGGATATAAATGAGTGAATACTTATCTAAGACATAGTTACAGGAGAGGAGCTGTTGCCATGAGCACAAAACAGTAACATTTAGACTACATGAGCATTTTGAAGAAAAAAAAAAGTCTGCCAGAGCAGCAGCCTTTTCCAGAAAAAGAACAAAGATTATGATGTGGTGCACAAAGGAAAGAAAGGAAAAACTAATCTTGTGCTACAGGATGGGAAAATGATGTTGTACTGCATATAGTACTAAGATACTTAGATCCATTTCTAGGCAGGGGTATCACAGGAATATACAGTACACTGGTGACCACCGACTGTTGAGCAGCACAGTGAACAGAACAGTAACAACGAGCAACGCTATACTACAGAAATACTACAGAAAAAGGGATTTGAACCTTTGCTACCTGAGGTGTCTGTCAAAATGATTTTCCAATGTGTTACAGACATCAGTTACTGATTAGTCTGTGTTCATCTGACAACATTTAGTTTGTCTGAATCATATCAACCATGGATGGATGGATGGATGGATGTTAATGCATTTGTTTATATTTATATACACAAACCAAACACTAGAGGTCTTGTTTACCTACATTTGTCTCTTTTCAGGTGATTAATACAAAGAAGAAAATTAAGAAAAAGAAATATGTCAACTCTGGAACTGTGAGTATCACCACGTCTTCTACTGCAGAATGACACTGTGTCTCTGATCCATACAACACATGTGCAGTGAAATACTTTTTTTTCTATTGCATGCTGAATCTATGAATGTACAGTAGTTTACCATTTTGGAGCAGTTTATGTTGCATTATATTGTTTTAATATTTTGAGCAGGTTTAGAAAGGTTTTTATTTATAAATTACTAGTAAAACTGTGGTAGGTGGTATAATAATAATAATAATAATAATATATTTTTATAGCTCCTTATATATCCAATTTACTCTATCATACATATCTACTGTACTGTTCAACGTGTTTATGTCAATAAAAGGGGAACAAGTGTGTCCCTACGTTCTGGTTTGGTTTTATGAAGCGTTAGATTTGAAGCTGAAGTCAACAGGAACATTATTTCATTATAATCAGTTCTTGATTTATGACGCCGGTTAACATTTTCCTCCGAATTTTTATGGGCTCCCATTGCTGGCCTCAGGTGTTTTTGAATAAAACATGAAGTCAGCATTTGAAATGATGATTCTCTTTAAGAAAATGAATCACCTTTGAACATCTCGTTACAAAATGGCATCTCTTCCATTTGTTCATGTGAAATGGCTGCACTTGACATGGACAGTTTGGGCTGAATAAGGAGGAATATGACTGTGAATATTGTTAGGTCACAGACAAGTCACATTAAGGAGCGACTGACGCAGACGCCCGAGTTTCCACATCGACCAAACATTTAACATCAAAGTCATGAATCTAAAAAATTAAAATTAAATTTGTCATCTGACTGTGAAAACCATCAAAAAGAGAGTTTGTGACATTAGATTTTCTTTAATTTTCTTTCCCCCAGGTGACCCTTCTCTCATTCTCAGTGGAGTCTGAATATACGTTCTTAGATTACATCAAAGGCGGGTGAGTACAAAAGACAGTTTAGATAAAACATGTACAAATTCACTCTTTTGATTTCTGCCACGTAAAGAACAATAAGTACTTAATAACAGAGCACCACTTAGTTTCATTTAATTTAACTGACTGCTTGACTTCTCTTTACTTCCATGTCGTTGACTTGTTTTATTTAATTCACGTGCCTTGACTTACCTTGACACCATACAGATGAAGTTGGTCTAAATCCCCATCATCTTCTTAAAGTTTAATTTGTCACAAACTTTACAATTCACTTCTCCAACCCTTGGCCGTCAGCCCAGAATATTTAATCGATTGTCAAATGGTGTAGCTCGGCCTTCCAGCCTTTTGTGCTGTTATCCCATCCCTCCTGTGGGAAACCGCTGTCCCTGCTTAGAACCCCACTGATGCAAACCAGGAGTAATGTTGTGGAGAGTCAAAGCAGAAACACATATGGAGCTCAGTGTCTATGTTTTAGTAATTACACGCCTCATAATTTATTTCACACTTTATTGGGAATGTGAAAACAAATGGGAATGTGAAGGTTTATGTGGTATCTCAGCAACGCAGTGGGAACAAAATGTGTAAAAATTTAAATGACACAACAAACAAAAAGAGCTGACGAGTATGTTGCAGGAAGATTTTGGTTGAGTGTTCTGTTCAGTTGACATTATACTGACCAGAATGGTGATTTTAATAGAATATATGTGTATATATGCAGATGACATGATCATTTAAATGAAGGTTTGAAAACCAGAGGATCATTTTTTTTTTTTTTTTTCTGGGACGATCACTAATCTAAAAGCGAAGGTGTTCAGGTTTTGTGAAAGAAAAATAAGCAAAAGCTTAGGCACAAGTTTGATTCTATAAATGATCAACATTATACTTTATACATGTGGTTTGCAGTAATCATATATAACTCCATAAACAACTCTATATAATATTAGTATTTTGAAAATAATCAAAAATTCTATTTGGTATTTTGACTCATCACTCTGCAAAAAACAAAGAGAATTTTAAAACTACAAAGAGTCAGAACAGACATATGAACAGATTCAACTTTGTCGGGGCGACATATTCAGGTCATGGTATGAAATCAAAGAACTCAATCGAAGAAATGATCAAAGTCTCTGCCATCACTAAAAATCAACTTGTTGCCCTAATTAAGATAAGATACCAGAGGACTTTCAAAATAGAGACTCATTAAAAAAAAATCCGATCTATTCATATTTACAACTTGAAAATGTAGTAAAAATGAAGGTTCTCAAAAATAGGAAGAAACTCACATGTACAGAAAACCACAACATACTACATATTTGATGATATGTTGTGTGACATTAATTAATATTGTATTTGTTATTAATATTCAACGTATATATTAGCAGCCAACCTGTATATAATATTAGTACAATGATACTGTATTTTATATAGTGAAATTACATTTTCCAATAATATTTTATACAAAAATCACTTATCAAGATGATATTTATCTAGAAAATCCATGTAAATAAATACATTTAAAAAGGCTGTTGCAATATCACTCTGCTAAAAAGTAACGTATGCCACATATATATACACATATATCTACGTATATAATTCAAGCAACCTGTCAAGTGGGCAGTTCTTTGATCTGCTCAGTCACAGGTCAGAGGCTCTAATGGCAGGACTGACAAGTTGGACCGATTATCGTTTTTTTATCAAAAATTCGTACAAATTATGAAACTTAGCGTTGAAGTTCTCCAACTGTCCCCAGGACAAATGGACCAATTTCTTAATGGAAAGAAGAAGTGAGGGTGAAGAGAGTTGGAAAGTTTGTTTCTTTTGTAGCTCTTCTCCATCAGCACATTGAATATAAAAGCTTCTGTCTTTGCAGAAAGTGAACTTTGACTTTGTCTCTTAGTTAATAACAACTATAATCAATGCTGCTTTTCAAAAAAAAAAAAGGCTTTCACTGCCGTCTAGGCCGACATCAATGGTCCATTGAGGTGACAGTGAAGGATGTCTGGAGCTTTTCAACAACTCAGTGGCAACAACAAGCTCTGATTGTAATATAATGACAGGGACCATGTCTCCACACTGATTATAGGTCAGCGCTGTTGCTGCAAACATATCATTTATTCCCCGCGTTTGATTGAATCAACGGCTTTGGTATGAGGTGGTGTGGAGCGAAGGTCAAGGATGTGCTGGAAGGTTCTGTCATCTGAGACAGATGTTCATTTTTCAAACAAATGTTGCTTTTGTACACTGGGATAATCAGAGAAAAGGAACGTTGCCGGTTGACATTACATCGACACAACGGAAGTATTTGTAGCAATCCTATTCCTTTAGGGGGCGCTACAAATACACTGTTAATCAATTAATCAAATTAAGTTAAATGCAGATTCATTTGTAAGTTTGTCTTAGTCTAGTCCAGTCATGGGTAAACTAAGGCCCGAGGGCTGGATGCGGCCCGTTCAGCTTTTTAATCCGGCCCGCCAAACCTTTCAAAATTATATAATTAATTTATATTATCATTATATTATATTATCTGCATTTTCCCTGCAATACCTACATTTCCCTAATAGATGGCGTAGAAAATGATGAAAACATTTTAGCATTTTACCCTTTATGCATGACTTTTACATGTCGTTTATCTTAGTTCACATGAATGCTCCATCTATCTACTCCTGACCCAACCCCCCTGTTCGATTTTAAGACAATTGTGGCCCGCGAGTCAAAACGTTTGCCCACGCCTGGTCTAGTCTGACCACACTAGATCGTATCTAACTGGAACCCTCTGGTGGCGGGCAGGAGTCCCATCGCTGTTGACCTAAATATCTATGCATGACAACAGACATATATACACACAAAAATACACAAATCGCATCAAGTTATTGTCCATAGCCCACTGACACCAACCTTAATGACCAAATTGCAGTATAAAAGCTACAAACCACAGTCTAGACAACATGACAACACATCATGTCAGTTCCTTAAGGTCACAAACAAGTGACGTTTTCATTGTTTCTCACACTACGCTGTAGTACAGCCGTCATTAAGCTACAACTGAAGAAAGACTTGTCAATATAAATGCCATATTTTATCAAGTACCAAGATCTTCAGTTCAATAAGAAGAAATCGGGGGTTCTCAATTAATTTTCTTTATTTCACACTGTTTCCAGTTCAACCCTCATTTCATGCAGAGAAAGTAACGCTGAGTCCTTATGAATTAATTAAACACATTGTAATTAATGCTCAAGTTGGCAGGGTGAGGATGTGGCATACTCTCCGTCGCTGCCCTAAACCGAAAGGTTAATGTGATTCCGTTAATTTTATTGTCATGCTGGAACCTACCTCTGGGCTGACTCTCAGGAGAGGCCGCCGTCGGAGCCCCCGAAGGCCCCGTCTCACTGTCGTAAATTAACAAGGAGGCGGGAGTGCTTCATCGGGGGGAAATTGGATTATGATTCCTCCTTAAGTGCTCCATCAGTCTAATTGTTACCAAGCTGAGGCTGCGCTGCACCTCCTGCTACACCGCCACGCAGAGGTGAAAACCGTGTCGCCAACTGATGGTAGCCTCTTGTTTAGGTTGGATTCAGATGAAGGCAGGAATCGACAATGAGATAATAAATATTAATGTGTTCATTAAAATATTAAAACAAGCCATGTGACTGGTCAGCGCCGGTCATCACCACAAAGTTTAAAAAGTATTTTAAATCTGCTTTTTTAACCAGTCCATTCTATTATTTATTTTCTCCTACAGGTATTCAACCAGCAAAATCAAAATTGTTCAAAATGGTCTTTGTGTAAGAATTACACCCCTGTGTAAAGAATATTGAAGTATGTACTGGGATAAAGAGCAAAAACAATTTAACAACAAGGTTAGAATGTGTACCAAGATAAAGTTCTCACCTCACAAAGGTGTCAACGCTTTGTCCAAAGTCATGTCAGTGCATTGAAAAGACATATGTTTATAGAATTGTTTGTAGTTAAGAGTGTTTTACTACAACATCAACATCAGCACTGACGTTTACACGTATCTTCACTGCAGTATCCTTGGGTATTTTAGCAGCCATTTTGAGAACTCTTTGAGACAGTTTTTAAACAGTTATTTAATTATGTTGTGTATGTCAGTAGGTCGGTGTCATTTCATGTGTCTTCTCTCTCCACTCCTGCAGGACACAGATCAATTTCACCGTTGCCATCGATTTCACAGCATCTAATGGTTAGTGCTTCTAACACTTCTCTCTCTCTGTATGTGTGTGTGTGTGTGTGTGTGCTCAGCATGTGTTTGTTTTCTTCTAAAGCCTTTGAAGAGCTATATATTCAGCTTACAACCACAGTCAACTCACTCCTATTCTTGAAGCTCCACTCAGGGCACCACCGTTCTGTAGTGTGTGGAACAGCAGGGAGCTACATTTCAAGCATTTCATTTGCAAGTAGACCTTGCTAAAAATACAGTCCAGGAGATGGTACATGGAATCAACCAACCACACGTTCCGTTAAACTGGATATTAAAATGGCGACATGAATTCAGCACAAAAAGAAACAAAAGAGAAAAATGATTGATTTTTAAAACTTCTTCTGAGGTGATTTTTCACCAGTGAAATCAAAGCTACAAGATAAACATTTTCAGTCATAAGATACGGTTTTACCAGCGACGTTTGTCGTCTTATGTATAGACAGTAGGGAGCGAGGGGTCATGTCCCCTCTAACCCCCCATCCCTCGTACCATCTGTGCCCATGCTTGCATGATCTGGACGCAACAACATTTTATCTAAATTAATCTCTCTTTTTCCTCTTTCACCGTCTGCCAGTGGCTGAGTTTCACCCCGAGGGTTCAATAAAGAATTGTCTTATCGTGTTTTCTAAAACAAGGACAGGCTAAATTATAGACTTCCTCGAAGGAAGCTGATAACATTCTATCATTGTTCTTGTCATTTTAATAAGAAAAATTTAAAAAAGGGAATATAGGGAACAATGATTGAGGTCATTGTCTCTAACAAACCTTTTTAGATGTTAATTAGTCATTTGTTAAAGCATGTCACACCCTGATGGATTTGTTCACGATAAAAACACTTATTAAATTTGCTGTTGTTATTAATCATCTTAGCCAACGTGAACAGGACGGCTCTGCCTGACCAAAATCATTTTTATTTCACTACAAAGTGATGGTGCAAACTGTCTCAGAGAACCCTGATGTTGTGGACTCCTCTGTGTTACATCAGTCTAATGACAGCTGTGTGGACTGGTCCACAGGAAACCCCTCGCAGTCTACATCTCTGCACTACATGAATCCATACCAGCTCAACGCCTATGCCATGGCCCTGAAGGCAGTGGGGGAGATCATTCAGGACTACGACAGTGACAAGATGTTCCCTGCTCTGGGCTTTGGTGCCAAACTGCCCCCTGATGGCCGGGTGTCACATGAGTTCCCTCTGGTGAATTCAACTGTGTCTCATTACATCTCTGATTATTGTGCTCCATGGATTTTCATTGGGGGTCTTCATACATTGAGGGTCTTCAAATGCTGCGTTGATCATCACTGTTTCATTTCTAATAGATTATTTTCATGTTCTGTTTGAGACCTTGATGCTACACGGTTTCATCAATGTCTTTGTCTTAACCATGAAATTGAATTGTTTCGCTCTATGCTGCAGAATGGAAACATAGAAAACCCATACTGCAATGGCATTGAAGGCATCTTGGAGGCGTACCATCAGAGTCTGAAGACGGTGCAGCTGTACGGGCCGACCAACTTCGCTCCTGTGGTCAACCACGTTGCCAGGTGTGAGGAAACTTATATTTATGAATGATTGTCAAACATTGAACGATGAAACTTTAGGTATAAATGTCTCCTTTATAATGACATCATCTCACCTCAGTTACTGCAGAGTAATGTTTCAAATGTTGCCAGTGTAATTTTCCTCAGAACCTGTTTAATGTGAGCTGTATCTAACAGGAAGCTCATTTATATCCAAATCTGTTGGCATTGAAGACATTTCAACACATCCTCATTGGACGAAGCTAAAAATAAATGTATTTTTTTCCAACATCTGATTTCTTTTTTTAAAAGAAGTTTGCAACACCTGAGAGATTCTTCCCAAAATGTTTTAGTTCTTAAAACCCATGGCCCTATGTTTATTTTGTTGTTTTGTTTTTTGTTTTAATGGCCTTCGTTTTGTAAAATACCATCAGTAACTTCACAGATACTTTTTTTTGTTCCCCATTTCTATTTTCATTGTCCATTCAAATGTAAATTCAGTCGTTTAATGTGACTTTTTTTTTTCTCTGTGATACTGTGTTTATGTTTTATTCATGTCTGGGAAAAAAACAAAAAAACACATTAAAATGGTCAGTAGAAAAAAACAGAGAAAAGAAACACATTTCTGTTCCTCAGATAAGTTAATGATGTTTTGTGTTTTTCAAAAGAAAAACAAAGATAAATGACGAACCTAATTAACCAAACAAACATCAACACTCCTGGGCTAATCTGTTTCCCTGCATCACCAATCAAACATCTACGATCTATAAGCCAACGAGGACAAAGACACACTTCCTCCTCCGATGTCTATCAGACATGATAAACAAACATCCCTCTCCTGATGAATTCAGATTAGCTGACAGTATAAAAACAGGAACAAATTTTTATTGTATGTTAAAACTCACTGATGCAGATTTTGACTTTGGTTCAGATTTGCTGCGGTGACACACCCACCTCCTGTTGTTTGCTCCTCTCACTGTTTCATTTGTGGAGCCTTAGCCACACAGCAATCATCTGATTGTGCCACAGCGCAGCTCAAACGGTGGCAAGGATCCAGCGCTGTGGAAAGACAGAGCCGCTGCTTAGCATCTGAATAGGTGAAGTAGAGGAGGAAGAGATACGGAGGCAGGAGAGAAAGTTAGAAGAAGTAAACTGAGTGAACAGGCTTTGTTTATTTAATCGTCTGTGCTGATTGGTTAGTTAACAACTGAGAGAGATCTGCATGTTGGTCCACAGAGGGTGAACAAAGGTGTGGTGGGGTATTTTGTGCATCAGTGATTCAATGTATTGCCTTGTGTGTGTGTGTGTGTGTGTGTAGGTATGCAGCTGCAGTGCAGGACGGCTCTCAGTACTTCGTTCTCCTCATCATCACAGACGGCGTCATTTCAGACATGGCTCAGACCAAAGAGGCCATCGTAAATGTGAGGATGAGTAAAGTTTTGTTTTTCTTAAAATACCGGTTGAAACTGGTTTTTCATCAATGACATTGTAGATACGTGGGCTGTATACTAAAACAGAAGACTAACATGCTTCAGATTTTTCAGCCAAAGGTATCTGAATAACAAAGGTTTGGGCTGTCCTTCAAAGAATGTATGTACTTGGTTTGGTTTTCATGTGAGACAAACACACTAACCCTATAGTTTTTATTTTTATTAGAACACCACCATTTGGAAATGTGTTGCAGTTTTTACAGTACACGACTGCTTAATCTTAGACCTGGTTAAAAAAAGGGAGAGTTCTACTGCACCAGCCTCCAGACAGAGACAGGTTTCCTCTGGAAATGGTCATTAAAACAACACCTTTTGACATTCCTCAATTCTACACTGAATAAGCCGGGGTTTCAACATTGGGTTTAAAAAGAAGAGTATTGCAGTGACCCAGTGAAATGATGCTACGAGACAGGATCACAGTTTAATTGTGATTTCCATCTTGTTTTTCTGGCCCCGAATGCAGGCTTCTACTGGCTGCTGCCAGACAATGTGAGACATTCACTGACTGTAAATTCCTAAACTGTCTTAACACACAGTCTGCAGTGTAAATAAGATGAGTCCATTCACTGCTATGCTTGAAGCCTGACCGTATATTGTGGGGTGAACTTTGCCAGAAATTGTTGGTTAAAAAGAGGTTTTCTGTTCAAAATGGCCACAACGTACGCTTGGGATTCTGTGGACCAGGATGGGAATCATTAGATTGGAAAACTGAGAGGAACACTAATGAAGAGGAAAAATAATGTTGAGGGCCATACAGTTTTATGGATAAAATAACAACAGCAAAAAAAAAAAACCAAAAAAAACAATATTGTGTATTTTTTTTCTTCTAATATTTTTCCAAAACTTGTTCTAACCTCTTCTCCCACAGCTTTTTCCTCCTCTTCTTCGTTCCTTCTTCTCTTCTCCTTCTCAGCCCAGAGCAGGCTCAGATCACCCAGCAGACTGGATTTAAAGGGAATTTGCGACTGTTAGTCAAAACATTAGAACAGCCACACCTTCCTTTTAAGATCTTGCCTGCTGCTCTATCGCACTTCTGCTGCTTTTCCTGCTTTTCTCTGAGCAGAGACTCCGCGGTGAGAGAGGACACGGAGCTGAGGTTATATGAGAATAAGTCTTTCTTTGTAACCATTCATGTCAACAGAAATGTTGAGCTAAGAGCGAGAGAAGTCTGAATGTGCAGAACTGGGAACATCTGTAATGGGTTTGCATTTCTACCTGCTTTTTATAATAATTATTCATTTTTCTGTATGGCTGTAATTTCTGACCCGGGGCTTGATGCACTTCACTATTGAAGTTTAATTGGACTCATAATAAGTAATGGGGTGAAGTAGGATTTCTAATTTTAGAGAAGGCTGTTTTATAAGCGAGAGATCTGCTTTCTACCTTTCAGACATTTTTCTTTAAAATCTTCATTGAATAACCATCAGTTTTTGTCTGGTTAGTTCTAGTTCTATCTAAAAAATAAAAAAATATAAAAATATAGATGGTTATTTTTAAAATGTTTTAGTAATGTGTTTTCTTTGGCTAACCTTTGACTAACTTTAGAATATTTTTATTAATAATAATTCCTTTTAAAAATTATTATTCCCAATCTTGTCATTCCTGGCGTAGACCATAGCACGTTCAACTCTGTCTCCTCTGTCTATTGGTATTATCAAGTACAATGACAGTCATCACAACAAAATCAGGTGATATTCATACTTTACGCCAGGGTTCAGTTCCTATGACATATTGCAAAATATGTAGGAAAATTGATGGTCAGGAAACTATTCTTTTCACACAGAGTTAGTCACAGCAGTGAAGACCACATGGACACAGTGACGTTGAAGTCTTTATTATCATCTACAATTTGTTCTTTCAAAAACCATGCCTGTGAGCTATAATGAAGGTCAAAAAGGTTTAAAAAAAAAAAAAAGGCGTACTACCAGCAAATGTGAACAGAGCCGTCTTCCCTGGCAGAATGTCAGAACAAGATCTTCCTTTTAAAAGTATACCTGGGGTGTGGTGACGTAACGGAAAAATGTTAAAAATCAGGGTTTATTAGTAGATTTTGCAGCTTGAGTCAATACCACACCAGTGGAATCCATTGACTTTTTGGCGATCTGTCTGTAGCGATCTGCTGTTCCACTACATTTCCTGTTTTTGGAGATCTAAAAGTTTTATCTGACCGTACCTCGTCACTTTGAAACGGTGATGCAGCTGGTGTTACATTTAGAGAAGATCCCTTCATGTCTATTATAGAAAGACATTACGTGAACTTGGCCATCAGTATGAAAAAAGTCAAGTTTGACACCATATTTAAAGACCCTAAAGGATCAGCAGGTGACTTCTTCTAGCATCTGAAGTATCAGAGTCAGTTCAACAAAATAATTTTTATTTCAAACTTTCAAATTGTTTCAAGCACTAACCCAGGATTCCACACACAAACTGTGGAACCCTGCACAGCTGGAATGACGGGAAAGTTTTGGACACATAAAAAGCCGCGTGCTGCCTCGCTCTCTTGCTCCGTTACACAGTGATTCTACCAATCCTCCCTCTGGGCCTGTCATCTGGGCACAGTTTTACCAACTTGTTTCGCAGGGTCCTGTCAGTGGCGCAAAATGTGAGCTCATCAATCACTACAGAATCTGCTGCTCTACAGATATAAACCCATCAATAACTCAGCACGCCCCCACCTCCGCTCCCCTCCTGGCTCTCTCTGCTGCCTTGTTCTCTCTGTGAAGCTATGATATTCCCCCTGTTACTCAAAGATATACTGCTTTTTGCTGACTCTCTCTTCACTTCTCTACCGGTACCCATTTATCCCCATCCGCTGTCTCCAGTCTCATTTTATAAGTTCTCTGCCGCGTTTGGTTCCTTTCTTATATTTTCTTCATGCGTCAGAGCTAAACCGTCTTTTTTTAGTGTGCTGTAAGAAAGAGAGAAATAAAATAATCCTGGTTGAATTAATCCTGAATTTGTTGACGCATGACTTTTGGCTTGCTCATTTCTTAAGAGTTAAGTAGTTTTGAACTTCGTTCAGATTTTTCCGTTGCCTGTGATTCATATTCCTATCAAATTATAAATAATTATTTTCATATAATTTATTTTCATTTTATTTTTTTATTAACTTGATCATTTGAGTCACTTAAACATGTTGAGACATGTCTATCAATGAGCTCAAACTTCTAATTAAACCTGGAGGAACATTTG